ATGGCATTGTTGTAGCTGGCGTTGCAAGATATTTGTGTCAGATGTGCTAAAGATTCATATGTCCCTTCATGCTTCAACCAGCATTCCAGAGGACATGCGACCGTGCTGTGGAAGAAACGAACTCAGAGACAGCTTTATTCAGGACATGCAATTGCAAGGGAAGAACACAGCTGACAGAGAGCATCTCTGCCTCAGTTTCTTCAAAGTACAAGCAATATCACACAAGCATTTATACATTTTAGTGGCATGCATTAATTAAAAACATCTGCAGTTTGTTTATGTTATGTCCTGCCCATTCCTGTATTTTCTCACTTCTGTTCTCAAAACATCGCTATCTCAAGGCTGGGTCACACTGACTCTACTCTGCTGTCTTCCCACCCGCTTCTGACATGAGCCCTGTTTCTACAGGTCTCGCAATATTAATCTAAGACTTAGCATGACAGTTGCTCTGTTTCTTACTACTGAGAGGCCTATATTTAAATCCTTTAACCCTGTTTCCACAATGCTGATGATGGGTTCTGCTTGATAACTATCCAAAGCAGTGCAGACCAATGCATGTTTATTGTCATCATCTGAGTCCAATGTCACCAGCAGAAGGTTGATTTTCTTTTTTGGTCGTTCGGGTTCTGTAGTTTCTGCATCAGAGTGTTGCTCTTTTAAGACTTCTGAAATCATGCTCCACGCCTCGTACCTCTCAGATTTTGGAAGGCATTTCAGATTCTTAAATCTTGGATCGAGTGCTGTAGCTATCTTTAGAAATTTCACACTGTTACTTTCTTTGCGTTTTGTCAAATCTGCAGTGAAAGTGTTCTTAAAACGAACAACATGCTGGGTTATCATCCGAGACTGCTATAACATGGAATATATGGCAGAATGCAGGTAAAACACAGAGCAGGAGACATACAATTCTCCCCCAAGGAGTTCAGTCACAAATTTAATTAATGCATTTTTTTTAATGAGCATCATCAGCATGGAAGCATGTCCTCTGGAATGGTGGCCAAAGCATGAAGGGGCATATGAATGTTTAGCATATCTGGCACGTAAATACCTTGCAATGCCCGCTACAAAAGTGCCATGTGAACATCTGTTCTCACTTTCAGGTGACATTGTAAATAAGAAGTGGGCAGCATTATGTCCCGTAAATCTAAACAAACTTGAGTCAACATGAGTCAACAATGCAATGCTGCTGCAAAAAAATACCAAATGCAATTTTGGGTTGCATTAACAGAGTTATAGCATGCAAGTCACAGGAGGTGATTGTAATGCTCTACTTGGCTCTGGTTAGACCTCAGCTGAAGTACTGTCTCCAGTTTTGGTCACAACTATATCGAAAGGATGTAGAGAAATGGAAAGGATCCAGAGGTGAGTGATAAAGATGATCAAAGGGATGGAATTCAAGGCATACAAGCAACAGCTAAAGGAACTGGATATGTTTAGTTTAGAAAAGAGGAGACTGAGGAGGGATATGATAGCAGTCTTCAAATACTTGAAAGGCTGCTATAAAAAAGACAGGAAAAAAATTGTTCTCTTGGTGCAGAGGGCAGGATAAGAGGCAGTGGGTTCAAACTACAGCATAACAGATTTAGATTAAACCTCAAGAAAAACTTCCTGCCTGTAGGAACAGTAGAATAATGGAACAAACTGCCTAGGGAAGTCATGGAAGCTCCTTCACTGGAGATTTTCAAAAAGAGGCTGGAAGTCATCTGTCTCAGACACAACAAATCCTGCATCGTGGCTGGGGGTGGGGAGAGTTTTAAACTAGATCAGAGATTCTCAACCTTTCAGGGTACTGTACCCCTTTCAGGAGTCTGATATGCCTTAAACGTGCCCCAAATTTCACCTTTCAAAAACTACTTGCTTACAAAATCAGACATAAACATACAAAAGTCTGACAGCACACTATTACTGAAAAATTGCTTACTTTCTGATTTTTACCATATAATTATAAAATAAATCAATTGGAATATAAATATTGTACTTACATTTCAGTTTATATTATATAGAGCAAAATAAACAAGTAATTGTATGAAATTTTAGTTTGTACTGATTTTGCTACTGCTTTTTATCTAGCCTGTTGTAAAACTAGGCAGATATCTAGGTGAGTTGATGTACCCCCTGGAAGACCTCTGAGTATCCCCAGGGGTACATGTACCCCTGGTTGAGAACCACTGGACTAGATGACCCTTGCAGTCCCTTTTAACCTTATGGTTCTGTGATTCTATAATTCTATGTCCTGCTACTCTTCCTCCTGGGGCTCTTCTCCTTATCCGTACAAAGCCCTACAATGTCCATATTGGGCTCCTTGGAGACGATAGAGGGAACATCCTTCTCAGGTGCCTGTCAGAGAGAGAGAGCGAGAGAGAGACTTAGAAGCAGAGCCTCAGGATTCCTGTTGAAATTTATTACCAATCTAGAATACTCAAGGAGCTGACTGAGGAGATATCTGAGCCATTAGCAATTATTTTTAAAAAGTCCTGGAAGACGGGAGAGATTCCAGATGACTGGAAAAGGGCAAATATAGTGCCAATCTATAAAGAGGGAAATAAGGACAACCCAGGGAGTTACAGACAAGTCAGCTTAACTTCTGTACCCAGAAATATAATGGAGCAAATAATTAAGCAATCAGCAAATATCTAGAAGATAATAAGGTGATAAGTAACAGTCAGCATGGATTTGTCAAGAACAAATCATGTCAAACCAACCTGATAGCCTTCTTTGACAGGGTAACAAGCCTTCATAAGTTGCTAGACATACTACACACCTCCAGACCCAATCACTCTCCTGATTAATGATGCCTTTTTGGAGCCTGTAAAAAACTGTATGGCAAACTCCTGCTACTCCTCCTCCCATGGCAACAAAGACTGAGATGTACTATATTCTCACTAAGGGAGCTGAATATCTGTATTCCCACCCAGAGTCAATCCCACTAGTCGTTTTTATAGCTAATGAGAGAACCAAGCAGCACCCCTCCCAAAATTACCCCATTTGAAAAAGACTCAAAGCATCTTGACCTCTTTGATGAAAAAAGCTAGTCTATGATTTTCTTAATTATAACAACATCACTGAATTTATTGACAAATTGCTGCAGGAACATGAAGCAATTTCAGTCTTCAGTGTCACTTGAGAGCAAGATCTTCAATGCAGGCTGCCTTAGATGCAGCAGATATCACTTTGTGCTTTACAGCGACTTCTGTAGTGATGCATCCATCATGGTGGCTTCAATCTTTGGATATTCCAGGGAAAGTTCAAGCCACAGTGGAGAACCTTCCATTCCACAGGCCTAATCTTTTGGGTGAAAAGATGGATGAGTTTCTTCACATTATCAAGTATCAGAGGGGTAGCCGTATTAGTCTGAATCTGTAAAAAGCAACAGAGGGTCCTGTGGCACCTTTAAGACTAACAGAAGTATTGGGAGCATAAGCTTTCGTGGGTAAGAACCTCACTTCTTCAGATGCAAGTAATGGAAATCTCCAGAGGCAGGTATAAATCAGTGTGGAGATAACAAAAAGAAGAACAGGAGTACTTGTGGCACCTTAGAGACTAACAAATTTATTAGAGCATAAGCTTTCGTGGACTACAGCCCACTTCTTCGGTTGGCCAATGTACATAGCAGAGGGGCATTGCTGGCATATGATGGCATGTATAACATTGGTGGACGTGCAGGTGAATGAGCCGGTGATGTTGTAGCTGATCTGGTTAGGTCCTGTGATGGTGTTGCTGGTGTAGATATGTGGGCAGAGTTGGCATCGAGGTTTGTTGCATGGGTTGGTTCCTGAGTTAGAGTCATCACAGGACGTAACCGCAAGAGGATAAATGGACACAAGTCAGATATCAGGAATGGCAATATACAAAAAGCTGTAGGAGAACACTTCAACCTCCC